TATGTGTGTGTATGTGTGTGTATGTGTGTGTATGTGTGTGTATGTGTGTGTATGTGTGTGTATGTGTGTATGTGTGTGTATGTGTATGTATGTGTGTGTATGTGTGTGTATGTATGTGTGTGTATGTGTGTGTATGTGTGTATGTGTGTGTATGTGTGTGTATGTGTGCATGTATGATATGGGGATTCGGGGATGGGCGTGTGCTCTGTAGGTAATGGATGCCCTGGTGCGAGCTAGGGCAGGACGGAGCGGGAGCTATGGCACGGTATGTGCCTATGACTGAGAGAGCAGCAGAAGAATGGTGGTGGATGGAGGTGATGGTGGGTGGCTTGGTGGGCCGAAGCAATGAGGCGCTAGGCATTCAATAGGCGTCCTATATGCTGGCGGCATACCTTGAAAAGATAAACGCTCATGAGTGACTTGATGACGAAAATGATTATTACTGAGGAGCTTACATTAGCAGTCCACACGAAAACATTCAGGACGAGGTCACGCCTCGCCACCTCCTCGCTTCCGGCCATGGCGCGATTGCCAGGAGTGTGCAATGACCCAATCTTGCGATTGATTTTGCCAAGAAGCTTGCAAGTGGCTTCAAAGGTGACAGCTTCGGCGCTATATGACAGTTAACAAGGGTATAGGATTTCGGCTTCCACTGACTGGTGCTTTATTGTCGGTAAGCGGTCCATCCAAACGACTGGCATGTTGTTGGACTTTCCTCTCTTAGAATTGTTGTTATTTCCATCCTTCAGGAGTTTCAAATGCGCAAAGCCTGGATAATATTAACCTCACAGACATAATTTTTTTCCTGTTTAATCTAATGGCAGTGTCATTCAAGTGTTTAGGAAAATTCCCTTTCCGTAAGGCAGGACTGTGTAACGGTGTATAACGGTCTCGTACCGAAACTTTTTTCAAGTGACAACTGCCAGGGGCGCTACGATGAAGGCATTTATGACTTTCCTTAGGACGATATGCACTTCGCTGTATGCAGGGCCTTCTGTCTTAACCGACCGCTTTCTGTACGTGACTGAAGGCCATTCACGACGGGGAAACAAGTAATAAAGATGCGTTGAAACTTTCTTGACAATTATACAATTATAGTCACAAATGCTGGACATGTGGGTTTGTTTGTCCACTTGCATCATTGGTGCCTTGCTGGTGCTGGTGCTCAGTGGCGTGGTATGTCACATGCGTATTCGCACATCCTGTTTATCAAATGATATCGGTTTTCATAATCGAGTTACACAATTGCGCAGGGAAGCCGAGAACGACGAGCGGTCGGTCTACCTGGTGGGTAACTCACATTCCGACAAATAAGCCAGCGACACACAGCTATGCGGGCAACCAGTCGTTCAAATAACGTTTTCTAAAAATACGTGCTTTTCTCTGCATGCAATATTCCAAGGGGTAATGGGTGCAACCTAGGCTAGTCAACCACTCGAAAATGGAGCCACACGCATCAGCCATGGGCGACTCCACTTACCACACCGCAACCTTCCCCCTAGACCCCCTCTCCAGCCACCAGTATCACAAACTGAGAAGTGCAAAAGTACAGCTCCGCTCCTGAAGGGCTTACACATTGCAAACGAAACGTTAGCATCCCCCGTTCGCTTCCTTTCACGCAAAATCTGATCCCTACGACGATTCAGTTTGCTCAGTACGCTAATTTTCTCCCATCCTCATCCCCATCCTGTCCCTGCCCCGCTTTTTAAAGATGATCCAATCCATCCCCTCCATCATCCCCATCCGATGACCCCTTCCGCACCGCCTCCTTTTCCATCTGCCATGTCGCTCCCGCTCTCCTCCCCACCGTAACCCCTCCCGCTTCCCCCTAAAACCCCTCCCCCCCTCCCTCCTAACCCTCCCACTCCCACTCCCACTCCCCTTTAACAGCTCCCCCGGGGGTACCCCTTCTGGGCCATTCCCTGACGCTACGCGCCTGGCCCTCCTGGACATGGTGGTGGTTCCGGAGCGGAGGGCCCCGGGGCGACCAGCTGCTACTGCGGGCGCTGCTGCGCTGGTCCGAGCAGTACGATGGTGCATTTCAGCTGCGAAACGGCTGGCTGGGTCGTCTGCTGCTGGGCGACCCACGGGTCGTGGTGGTGCTCTCAGATCCGCCTGCCGTACATGCGCTGCTGGCGCTGGGTGAAGACGCTGCTGTCAAGTCTGGGCGGTATTATGGCTCGTTGGATCAGGCGAGTACGGCATCGTACTCGACGCGGCACGATTCAGCACGGCTTGGTAATAGAAACAGTGATCCATGCGCTGGGAATGCGGTAAGGGTTTTGGCGCTGTGGTGTCGTACAGGCCGGGCCGTAGGTAAATGTACCCCGGCTCATCGCCTTACGCCAAATGATCAGATGTTCTGTGGCTGGTTTCGGAGCGCGCTCCCAGCGCCGGAGCCAAGTAGAGCGCGACCTTCTCTCATGTCCATGCGCCGCACAGCCGCACCTGTAATCGCGGTTTCCTGCAAAATAAAAAATGTCACCGTACGACATACCTGTACGACGCCTTGTACTGCATGTACGGCAGGTTCTTCACCCGAATGCCGTACCCAGCAGCGCTACAGCCACCTCCTCGGCCCAGTGGCGGTTACTGCGGAGGTCGCTGCTACACGCCTTTTCCGACTCGGAGCTTCAACTGGACTTTGAGGTGCGTGGAGGTGCATGTGTTCGTGTGATATGTGTCTATCTGTCTGTGTATCTGTCGTCGTAGGCCAGGCGTCACTGTCCAAGAGAACCCTTCACAAGAGGCCAAGAGAACCCACCCCCACCCCCACCCCCACCCTCACCCTCACCCTCCCNC